CAGCAGTGGGAAGGCTTAATTTTGTGCATTCTGGGGTTCTGATCATAAGGTGCTCAACAGTCCTCCAGAGACCCATCGAGGATTTGGGCTGCAAGCCTGTACTGAAAATGTGCCCTCCATTTGTGGGTCAGGGGCCAGGCTCACATTTAATACCCCATCAGTGGAGTGCCATCTTCATGATATTTAGAGTGACATTAAAAGAAAAAACAAACAACTTTAGAGTGATATTGATTAGCCCAATGATTTCCTCTTGGACAGCTAGGATAGAGGCCTGATGCCTTCTCCTCCTCCTCCCCTGGGGTTGAGTACACGGTCCATGAACATGCCTGGCTTTGTCACAACTAAAACACTGTACTCTTGAAGAAATCTGACCCTGTCTAGTCACACTTTGACGAGGAGGCACTACTTCTGTATGGACCACCGATGGAAGGGAAGAAGGAAAAGGAGGAGAAAGAGATGGGAACCAGGACTCGTTGCCCTCGTTTTTATCTTCTCTCCAGGGTGCACTAGGTGTACAATATTTTGCTGCAGTTACAAGACAAAAAACCGCAAAGAGCAAGCTCCATGTGGAGAGAGTTTCAGGGGATATAACACTGCCCTGTCTGTGAGCATGCTCTAAACCTTCTCCTACTCTGTCTTAACATTCTACATGAAATGCTCCAGTCTAAGGAAACTGAGGATTATGTTTGATAATCTCTTGTAACATGAGAAAGCAACTGGGTACTGACTTGAGCACTGGACTGGAGCAACACAATTCCCAATAAGGGGGGGAGAAGTGCTGTGCTTCTATCAACAAATTCTGTCCCATTACCTTGTCTGAGAAAGTGTTCTCTGTGTGCTCACTTTCTTTTTCCTTTTCCCTCATTGCCCTTTCTGAGAAAGTTCTCCAGATGCACTCATTTTCCTTTCCTTTTCTTTCCTTTCCTTTTCTTTTCTTTTCTTTTCTTTTCTTTTCTTTTCTTTTCTTTTCTTTTCTTTTCTTTTCTTTTCTTTTCTTTTCTTTTCTTTTCTTCTTTTGCACCATTAACCTGGCTGAGAAAGTTTTCCCCATGCACATTCCTTTTACTTTTGCTCACTTTTTTTTCACTTTTGTCCTTTCATTTGCTCACTTTTTTCTTTTCCCCTGCTCACTTTTTTTTCTTTGCTCAACTCTTTCTTTCCTTTTGCTCACATATTTTCCCCTTTGCTGTGGAGCTCCCTGATGCTTACCCACTACTGCTCTGGCAGACCTTCCCTCATCAGATCCCTGTTTGGGCACCACTTGCAGGAAATCAGCTTGCTAGGAATGCCTAACGAAAGAGGGCAACTAAGATTAATGACAAAATACAGAGATTATCTTGAGAGAAAAGGCTATGGGGTTCTTGCCTCTAGTGGACCAAGAGCCCTGAGAATTTGGCTCACCTCACTGTTATTTACCGACATGGGAGCAAATAATTAGGGTAGCAGAAGATTCATCTGCCTCCTGTTATCTATAGTATATGCCTGGGTAAGTAATCAGAGCTCAACTATATTGACTTTCCCTGGAACTTGCAATGTGCTTGCATGCTGCCATGATGCCAAAGAGCACAGCTTGCTCTTTTTGTCCTTTGCTCACAGAGAAGGTCAGTTAGGCCATGACCTTCATTTTCTGGTGTTCTACAGCTCCTCATCTCTGTTACGTGGTAGCTAAATTGGTTACATCTTCTAAATGACTTATAATTTCACAAAGTTTTGTGTCTGCTTTTAATCTGTTCATTAATAAAAATAATTGATATTTTATCTGGAATATTTTCCACTATTACTTTATAGAACAGGTTTTACTGTGCTTTTCTTTTTTCCTATTCTCCTTTTCAAACTCTCATATTTTGTACTTCTTTTCCATTTCATGGTATCCTATATGTCTTGCAGACTTTCTCCTTATGATCTTTTTTTGTCTAAAAATATATGACTAAGTTCTATCAAATGACCTGTTGTCAAGTTTAGAAATTCTTCCACTTGATCTAGTTTCCTGTTGAGCCTCTCAGTCGTATTTTTTTATTTGTTTATATAGTAACGTCTTACATTGCAAGATTTCTGTTTATTATCCTTGATATTGCTATTGTTGCTAAATTTATCATTCAGATCATGATTTAGTTTTTCATTTTATTGATTTATGTGTATATATTTTCTTATACATTTTTACCATTAGAATCATTGTTTTAAATTCACTTTCAAAAATTTCCTCTGTGGCAGAGAGTGTGTTGCCCAAAAGTTGTTCTATTCTATTGGCGTTGCTATGTTACCTTCTTTTATCATATTTTTGGGCCCTTATGTGGATATTTGTACATCCGAGAGACCAGTTACTTCTACCATTTTTTCATTTTAAAGAGAATGAAAAAAGAACAATAGCAACATGCCAGCAACATAGACAAAAACAAAACAAAGCAAAAACAATAAGAGTGATGCAGGGTTTCAGAACAAAGTGATAGGCATTAACAGTGGTTATTATATTACATATTTTTATCTTCAACAAAGTTGCTCAGAGTACCAGATGTAAGAATGCAAGATTGATCAAACCATTAAAGAGAACAAAAAATAAAAACAAAATTCCTATCATGTTGCTTGGTGAAACTCTACCACTTTTATAGGTGTCTTTTGCAGCAAAATGTTTCTTCTGGATATATGTCCTAGGGAATTGGTTGTATGAACAACATTGGTTTGAACCCAAATAGGCACAGTAATACATTGTTTAGGTGGTTTATTAAACTATAATAAACATCAACAATGCCTATGTGTGTCTCAGTGCTCAAGCGTGAGTAGTTTGCAGGCTTCCTCTGCCACCTAACATATCCACTTCTGAGATACAATCAACTGACTATCTGACAGCTGACAGCTCTGGAATTGACAATCTCAACTTTACTTCTAAGAACATGTAAGTTTGCAGACTGCGCAAGATGAAGCCACGGTGGCCATCCTGAGTTGATGAGGTGTGGCTGGCACAACAATGGAAGTGGGACATTCATCTGTTATTTGATAATGGAGTTATTAAGCTTGAAGGGATAACATATGCATTCTTATTAGTCACCGTTTCATCAAATATTTCTAAAAATTAAATTGACTACGTGTTTTCTTAGTCTCAATTGCATTAATTTCTGCTGTGAGCTTTATAATTTCCTCCAGTGTATAAGCTTTTGGTGTGATTTGTTATTTTGTTCTAGAAGCTTGAGGCTCAGCATTAGCTTGTCTATTTGAGCTCACTCATTTTTTCTGTTATGAGACTTCCCCGTGAAAAGTTTCCCTCATCACACTCTAGTCACTGCATCCCTTCAGTTCTGCTATGTTGGACTGGCATTATTGTTTAAGTGTAAGAGCTGTTTCTTCTTTAATTTCATCTGTGGCACGTTGGTTTTTTGGAGCGGGGATTATTTAATTCCCACAAGGTTAAAGACTTTGGGAAATGGGTAGAAACTGGGAAAAGGGACAATGGAGGGAGGAGAGGAAAATGCAGGAAGGGACAAGAAAGAAAAGAGCATAGAAGGAAAAAATTGAGAAAAAGTATTTTTTTAAAGTAAGGAGGAGAAGAGAGGTTGAAGGGAGGGGGGAGGAACGTGAAAAATGAAGATAAAAGATGTATCATGTACAGGCACGAATTCCCTATGATGAATGTTGTAATTATGTATATCTAAAACGTACCAATAAAATTTTTGAAAAATTAAAAAAAATTGATGACAATGGATTTTACTGTGGGATAACCAATTAAATGTGTGGTTGCAGGCCCAAAGTAGTGACCTTGCTGGGCCTTGCTTGACTCCTCATTCAATACTGATTCCTCCAATACTTGCTTCTCTATTTTCCTAGCTGATTTCTTCCCCTTAACATTTCACTGCACACCAACATTCTAGGTATCCTAGTGTACACTGCAGTCCACCATGTCCTCCACTCCTCAGTGTGAGACCAGGAGGACAGTGGGATGGGGCATCTCTTAGCTGACACTTCTGCATCTAAAATGGTATCTGGGGTGGCCAGTGTCCTCCACGTTCATTTGTCAGGTAAGGGAATAGGTGAAATAGGTAAGATGCTTACAAAGATCAACTTATAGATTCTGTAAACAACTACGTTTAGTTCATTTTCAGTGTGAACTAGTTCAATTAAATGGGTAATAGTACATATGGTGTGATAAATACGTGTCACTAATAGTTTGTATACTTTTAAAATTTGCATTCCTTTATAGTCAAAATGTGTAATTTATTAATATCAGCTTTCCACATTGAGACAGGGAGAAGAAAGTTAAAGATCTTGTCTAGAAAGAAAAGATTAAAATACCAATTCCAATTTTTTGAATTTAGAGCATTAGCTTTTACTTACTATGATAAAGAGGTCCTCAGAAGATAAGCCTAAAAAGGAAGAGCACTGTAAAAGAAAATATTTGATTTTAATAAAAAATATTTCCATTTGTCAAAGCAAAACTGATAGGAACTTAGCTCTGAATTCTCTGCAAAGCAACAGGAAAAGCAAGAAGAGTGGCAGATACTCTAAATTTTGAATTATTTTTCGGGAGCACAATTCTGAGGGAGCAGTAGCTTATGTATTGAGTTTAATTATACAAATATTTCATTTTATATTATGGAAGCCATACTTGTCTTCTACTCTGAGCTGCTCTAAGTGAAATCGAATGAAATTTCCCCAGGATGCACTCTCTGCTGCCATCTAAACTTCAGTAATTTAACTTTTTTTAGGAAAATAAAAGGGTGCAAAAGCACATGGTTGTTTCTCAATAAGTGTATAAGCCCTGCTGAAGGGGAAGTGGCACGTACTTTCATTTTCATGTCACGCAGGAGAGTAGGAGAGAAAAGCCATGGCTGGTGAGTTTTTGAATTTTTGACTGATAAAAGGTCTGGTCTTAGAGAATGAATAGCCGTGAGAGGGTGTGGGTCTTTCTGTGGCTGTGGAGGTGAGCAGAACTGGCGGAAGAGAAGAGAGAGAGGGATAAGGCGGCTCAGAAGATTCTGAGCGGAGTCAGCAAGGAAAGCTGTGTCGGATCAGGACTGGGGTTTTGCTGGAGTCAGTTCTCATTTTGCGATCGTAACTCTTAAGTGTCTCAAGTCGGACAGAGGAAGCCGACTCAGAACAAAATGAGCACCAGGTGTTCTCACAAAGAAAGTGGGTGTTTCTTGTTATACTCTTTTATTATTCAGAGATAATAAGCATGAGATGTGACAGAGTAATCTCTGCTTTTCACTTACTAGTAGAAGATAGGAACTCTGTCTTCAGGTCCCTCCTGTGAGCAGATGGACAGAGCTGAAGGGATAAAGGTGGCGTCGCAACAGAACGGCAGTGTACTAAGTTCTACAGGGAGGGATGATTTACCGACGGAATGTAAAAGAAGAAGTTTCTGGGTGATCTGAGAGGAAAATAAGGCTGTTTTCATGACTTGGGAAATTCTTGTGCTCCAAACAGACACAGTCCTGAAGAGAATCAGAAAGGAGTTTGTCCGTTCAGTTGGCATCGGTACAATTAATGGCCTGCTGGATGAATTACTAGAGAAACGCGTGCTGAACCAGGAGGAGGTGCAGATTGTACGATGCGAAAGGTCTGTAGTTATGGATAAGGCCCGAACTTTGGTGGATGGCCTCACTGGGAAAGGGCCCCAGGCCTGCCAGATTTGTATTGATTACATTTGTGAAGAAGACTGCCACCTCGCTCGGACACTGGGGCTCTTCTCAGGTGAGGCTCAGAGACTCAGGCTAAAGTTCACAAACTGCATGCGTTTGTGCATACAAAATCTGATTTCTTTTTCCTTTTTTTAAAACGGATTGCTTCCCTGTGGTGCTTAATTGACTGCCTTCTTTTCTCCTTTTATGGGAAAAATAAAACAAAATTTCCAAACAACATAATAGGGGAATAACAATAGTTAATATTGTATAGTTAATGTGTTACATATTGCTATCTTCAAAGTGGTTACTCTGGGTACAAGATATGGGCATAAAAACATTCTCCAAATGATGTTAGCACAAACCCATCTCTTCAATAAACTAAGAGAAACTAGTTAGTATAATTACCTTGTATTTTTTTACTTTTTCTTTACTAACATTGTTAGTGTACAGGTATCTTCTTTACCCGAAAATTCAGTTCACAATATGACCAGGCTGCTAATTATTATAATTTTATTCCTATTTTTGGTCCAATTTATAGAATATTAAGAAAAGATAAATATAGAACATATAACTAAGTATAGAAATTCCTACAGTGATGTTTACATGGTATTTCCTGATGACACTCGTATAGATATCATTGCAGTAACTGCATTAAATGGTCCATCTATGCCTCAGACGTCTTTGTGCACCATGGAAATCTCATTACTGCAAAGAGTTGAGATTATATGAATAAAGAATACATAGGAAATATTTGTCACAACTCTATAGGGAAGCTTTACTGACTTTTGCACAAAAAATCTAGAATTCTGAGTAGAGGGATACATTATAAGTGGAGGGCAGTGGTGCATGCCTGTAATACAAGCACTCTGGGAGGCTGAGCCAGAAGGATCTCAAGTTAGGCCATCTGGCAGTTTCTAAACTGAGCAAAAGCACGTCTCAGAAATAAAAAAAGTAAAAGAAAAAGTCCTAGTGATATTGTTCCAAGTAAGATGTGTGTTTCTTTTTGTTCCTTTTCTGTCAGAATTTTTGTATGCTTTATGTCTCATACTCTGAGCAACCTCTGTGAAAACAGTCATACGCAGTATAATAACTATTGTTATTCTCTTATTATTTGATTGGGAAAATTTTACTTTACTTTTTCAAAAAGTAAAAAAAATAAGATTGAAGGTCTTAGGTTCAATACCCAGTACAGCCAAAGACAATTTTCAAAGCAGAATGAAACGCCGTGTTAGTGAGAGCATGCTTTGACTCATCCTTCCCTGAATATTCCTCTGGGAATGTCATTAACTTATCTCAGCCTTGGAGCTGAGCTTCTCCTCTGCTTTCAGCAGAAGGTCAAGATGTTTTCTATACTATGGTAAATCCTTGCAACAGTAGTTTTGTGGGTACTGATGGCCCGTTGTCAACTTTTTCTAAGGCCAAAATCTGCTCTGAGTTAGACAGTTTCACTCCGCACACACGTGGTGTGCACTGGCATTTATCTCAAGAACTAGCCTGATACCCACATGTCAAGTGCAATTTTGACCCTGTTTCTAATGGCGTCTCGCTGTCTCTTTCACTGCTCTTTGGTTCTGCTGTCTGGCCACGAGCATGTAAAAGCTTCTGTTTCCCACTGCTGAGTGTGGGTTCGCCTGAGTCACATCTGGAGTGGGGTTATGTCTGTCATGCCTGTGGATGGAATTGTCAGGAAGGGGCATTGAAAACATTGGGCCAACTTCATTTGAGACCATACGTAATTTTGTTTGTCCTACATCTCTCTGCAGGTCCACACACTGGGAATAACTTTAGTACACAGGACTCCCAAAGAGTAGTTCCTTCTTCCTCAGGTAATTGTTTTCAAGGCAGAGCATTCTTTGAAACCTCATCTTTGTAGTCATTATCTTAATAGGGTGAACTCGAGGGGAGGGAGCTATGCATAGTAATTGTCATAGATTGCTACTATGCTTTTATTCTCTTCTGAATTTATTTTGCTTTAACATAAATTGTTCTCACAGTGTCACTACCCATACTTACAATAAAAATTTCTGACCCTGTGTCTCAAATCTTAATTCCTTTTCTGAGTGCCAGGCTTTACTATTCAGGTGCCTAGTAAATATATTCATTAAGAATTCCCTGAGACATCTTTATCTGAATCTCCCCAGAGATGAATTTGCTATTTTCCTTTTTCTTCTTCTTTTCCAGTTTCCTCTGCCTTGAGTAATGGTGTTGCTTTACCATTTGTTCAGACCTGACTTCCAAAATTTATATTTGCTTCTTTCTTATTCTTGACTCAAATTTCAAGGAGTAGCTAAGTTTTCTTGACTTTTCTGTCAAATCTGGATTTATCTCTTCTACTCCTATTTCTGAATTTCAGAGTGCATATTCATACCGTGCACATTAATTCTCCATCCATGACTCTCACTATATTTTTCTTATTTTTTTCAAATAAATTAGTCCTTTCCCAACACTGGACTTCATGCTTTATAATGAAGTTAATCAATTCGTAGCTCTTCTCTCATCTAACCTTGGTTGGTTTGTAGTTTGCAGTATTATGTAATATTTAAAATCTTTCACTGAATACTGTTTATCAGAATTACTATTTTAAGTAGGACACTAAAAGATATTTTTTATATTTCAGATCTTGTTCTATATACAGACTTTGAACAATGTATAATGATGAACAAGACAAACAATGCTCCTGCCTTGACTGAAGTTGCTTGAATACCTAAGTATGCAAGCATCTATTATCAAATTAAAGTTACCCCAAATTTAGCAATGGAAATGACACTGTACACACCTATATCAGTTAAAATTACGTGGTGTCCAATAGAAACATCATATATTTATACTAATTTATGTATGAAATTTATTAATTTTACTAATTTATTTATTTCACTAATTTATTTATTTTATTTAATTTATTAAATTTATTAATTTATTTATGAAATTCTAGTACTCTGGGAGAATGAGCCAGGAAGAATGCAAGTTGGACCGGACCCTGGGCTTCTTTATGATGTAGGGAAAGACTTCCACAAAATAAGACATCAGAAAGGCCTGGGGATTTACCTCAATGCAAAATCCCTGAGTTCAACCCCCCAGAGCCAACCAAAGTTAAACCTATCTAACATTTAAAAACAGAAGTTATGTGATACAGGTCTGTCTCAATTAGGATAACATAGGGTACAATATCAAATAAAATACTTATACTGGTTCCTATATGATAGAAAATTGCATCTTATGAATGAGAATTTTACAATATACATTCACGATAAGGATGCAGATTGCTTCCAATTTTTAACCCACGTATTGATATTTCTTCCACCCCATGGCTTTGATACCTGTAACACACATTAACTAAAGAACAATGATAACCTTCCAGCAGTGGCATTATAAAAGCTGTAGAAGACAATTTATGCAGGATTTTTCTAGGCTGAGTCTAGATGTGTCTCAGCAAACATGTTCCTCCACTCGATTGCTTAAACCAGTCCCTGGGCCACACCTATGTTCTGGGGTGGTTATCTGTGTACCAGGAGAAGAGTGTCTTTTTGAGTGTAGACACTGGAAGTGTGCTGCTTCTGTCATAAAAATTTAAGAAATATTTCCCATTTCACAAAACTAAGAGTAGTTCAGGGAATGCCTATGTCCCAGATGACAAGGAACATCTTAAATTTTTCTGTGTTCTACTCTGGAAATAATCATCTGAGCTTTACTGAAGGAGTCAATATGTTCTAGGCTTCTTGCTAATGTTACTTTTGTAGGAGACTAGAATCTTCCTAACAAGTAATCACTATTTTACTTTTCTTCTACAAAGATTTTTTACCCACAATTGTGGAAAATGTAATCCCAAAGTGACCCTTTCCTCTTAAAATAATAGGATCTTATGTTTGGAAGAATGTGGAACATAAAAACTATGGGGGGAAAATCACTATAATGAACATTTCAATGGTGGTTTAACCATGCCTGATTTCTTAGACACTTCTTGGACTGGGAATGTCATTATATATCCAAATACCTTATCGTGTTACTGGAAAAATGGCTCTCATATACTTTAAATATTTCTACTTAGTTTTGCTATTGTTCTCCAGAGTTCATTATGAAGAAACAGAACATTTCTCCCAACTAGTGATTACTTCTGTTGTTTTCTCCAACATACGCATTCTAATTAGCTCTTCTTTATTCCAGTCAAAATGTTTAAGGATGCTTTCTTTTAACTGGCTGAGGATGCAACAGTTTTTCTTTTTACTTTCCTCTCTAAAATTGATTATGTTTCTATTTCTAACAGATTCTCATCATAACAGTTTCTAGTTGGAACAGTTTCTAACAGTCCAGCTATCTAGATAAGTTATTCCTATTTTAAAATAAATAAAGAATAAATTAACTTATTTAGCCAGTGCATTGCATTGTTGGATGGTGTGTAATCAAATAAAAACCTTTGGGATTTTCTCACATTAACAACTGCAGAAATTTTTCCTTACAAGTTTGTGCAATCAATTTTAGTGAGAGGATTACATCTAATATGCACCTAGGTTGCCGCATTTATCATTCTATTTTAGCTATTATATTTTGTATATTCAATATTGCCACTCCTCCCTACATCACTATGCTGTAGAAAATTATCCTGAAGAACAGAAGTATATTTCAAAAAAACCCTACTATCTACTATCCTGCTTCTTAAATTGATAAATAGAAAAATATGTATGTTTTACAAAACATTTAAGCAGAATTAAGACCTACCCTTAAAATTCTTTTATTTTATCCTACAGTAGGTTTTAAATCTTTTGAAATAAATTTATATCTTAATTTTCTTCTAAAATACTGCTTTCTGACCATTTGTCATGTGTGTCCTGGAAGAGCTCCTTTTGTTTATGTTTATGTAAGATAGCTGTCAAAAGGGTTATTACAACAGGTAAATGTACATCCCCGTATCAAACCACTGGTAATATCCTCTGGCTGGAATTGTGTTCTACTAGCAATGAATCTGCTCTATAGCATTAGCAAATAACCTAGGGTTGTGCCCCTAAGACTGCACTCCCTCCTTGTGGCTTCACACATAGTTGATTTTGGCAAGAACACAGAGGGAAGCTATCAGAGATGTGATTATTCATAATGTTTCTTGTCTCTTGCAGCTTCTCAGGAAGTACAGGACAACCAAGCTGTGAACCAAGCTCTGAACCAAGCTGTGTTCATATCCTCAGGCCCAGTAGGAAGCCTCAAGCTTTGTCCCCTGGAAAAAGCCCAAACAATATGGAAAGAAAAGTCAGCGGAGGTGCTGTGCTTGGAACACCAGGCTGGAGCAGGCTAACACATATACAGTGCTGGAGTCTGTTATTAAGTGAAGTGGCTCTTATTTAGAGCCATATCTATTGAGATGGTCTGGTGAATCATCAGGCTATTCCCCTTGCTTGAAAGATCCCTATCCCCTAGAATCTCAAGCTTATATAAACAGCTCCATTTCTCCTAATAAATAAAAATAGGAATAAAAACAATGTCAATGGCTATGCTTACTATGCGTCAGGTATTACTGTAAAGATTCTGCATATTAATGACTTTAACCTTAGAAGTCATCTGGTTTAAAGATCAGGGATTGTTACATAGTTTGTCCAGAGCCAATCAACCAGAAAATGAAGGTTTCAGTTTTTAATTTCCATAATCCTGGCTTCAAAGCCTCTGTATCTTTTAAAAATATCACTTGCCAAAGTACAGATGGATGTTCAGCTGTGATCTGGGCATTTGCAAACTCCATTTCTAGGTCTGAATTAAGCTTCAGCTCCCTTCCTTACTGTTAATCTATTGCTCGTGGGATTTGGTTTCCTGAAGGGGTTAAGGAAGGAGAAACTGCTTTAAACACACCAAATGAATGTTGAGTTAAAGAAAATAAGGCTTGCATTCAATCTGCTTTCCTTACAGATCTATCCATTAATGAGCAAGTTGACTCGTACGCGTCTTGCCCTTATTATCTGCAATACAGAGTTTGACAGTCTTCCCAGAAGGGCGGGAGCTGAAATGGACATCAGAAATATGAGAGCACTTCTAGAGGGCCTGGGATACCAAGTGATTGTGAGAGAAAATCTCACTGCTTCGGTAATTTTTTTGAATTATAAAGACAACGATTATGTCATTATATTCATAAGTGATACAAGGCAAAATCATCATACTAGGAAACTTAATTTCTTGGTAGTCTATATTTGAAAATTTCCCGTGGAAAGCGCTTGATGTTAAATATCCTCTGCAAATGCGGGAGTCTTTCAGCAAGAATCTGGTATAACTTTCAATGGGGAAGTGCTGTATGAACTCAGGAAGGTCACCTTCTCGCTTCTGGAAATCTCAAGATGACTTCCTATAACCTTTGCTCTCATCACTTCTCACAGAACTGGGATTTAAACTTCCTTTCCTACTTCGTTGATTTTTGTGTAATGGCTCAGGGAATTCCCTAATTGTCTCTTTACTGGATTCTCCCATGATCACACAGTCCGTACTTTTCAGGAAATGGCTATGGAGGTGAAGGCATTTGCAGCCTGCCCGCAGCACAAGACCTCTGACAGCACTTTCCTGGTGCTCATGTCTCACGGTGTTCCGGATGGCATTTGTGGGAAGAAGTACTCTGCAGAAGTCTCAGACGTACTGAAAGTCAGCACCATCTTTCTCATGTTGAACACTAGCAACTGTGCCAGCTTGAAGGACAAACCCAAGGTGATCGTCATTCAAGCGTGCCGTGGTGGTGAGTGCTGATCTCCCTTAGAACACAAAACATTCAACTGCTGACTTTATTATTCTCATACATCAGTATTTTTCAGTTGTCTGCCTGTGTGTTCTAAATATCAGGAAACATTTGTTTTGGTCACTCAGCTGCGGTTTCTGGGAATTGTGTTTCTGGTTAGAAAATACTAGTTTCACTTTTCACTAAAGAGATACCATTTTTTTTTTTTCTTTTTTTGGTTTTTCTCCGGTACCGGGAACCAAACTCACAACCTTGCACTTGCCAGGCAGGCGCTTTTGACGCTGAGCTAAACCCCCAGCCCCAAGAGATACCATTTTAATCTAGAAATTTTGATGTGTAAATGTCTTTCATTTGAGGCTTAGGAAAAATAAGAATTGTTGATAAGATGGTTCCTGAAATGCTTGTGTGTATGTAAGAGAATGACAATGTATGATGTGACATATATGGTGAATATGTGAGGGACTATGAATAAATTAATTATTTTGGTTTGTCTTGCCAGGCAGGCATTGTGTTGCTGAGCCATATCTAGCTAAATTAATTATTATATCATAGCTCTGTAGAGGTTTGGAGGAGCCAGCGGTGCTCCTCAAAGTTGATAGTTAAAGGAACCAAATATTTTCTTTCCAGAGAACCCAGGAGTGGTTTGGTTAAAGGATTCAGCCGGAAGCTCTGAAAACAAAATCCTACTCAGTCCAGAAGTCTTTGTGAATGACGGCATTAAGAAAGCCCACATAGAGAAGGATTTTATTGCTTTCTGCTCTTCAACACCAGGTAACAGTTTCTGTGCAGAAGTTTTGTAGGGTGACTGATGGCAAAACTGCTGCCATTCTGTTAAAGTGTGGATGCACATGTTTAATTTTCAATGAAACTTTTGAAGAACAACTGAGAGTTTCCTTAGAGTAACCCATCCAGTTGCCCTTATTCATGAAGACAAAATACACATATATTTCTACTGAATCAATAATTGATCAAATTTTGCCATGTTGCAGAATATTTTTTCCTTGAACGTTGAAGGGTAACAGTGAATTAAATGCAAAACTGTCTATACTGAAGTAAATTATACTCTCACTTCAATGAGGAAAATGCTCACAATGTTGAGATCCCTTACAGTCCAGTTGCCAAGACATTATGCATTTATAGAAGTGTGTGCTGGGGGAAAAAGGGGCATAAGGCAAACCAAGCACCCTGAAGTCTTAAGTTAGAGTGAATTATGAAGTATGTAAAAGAAAATGCATTTGAATGATTCTAAATGTAAGCTAATGGAGTAGGATCACCACAACTACATCCTGACAATTCTATTTAGTACTTTCTAAACTAGTTCCGGTCATTCAACCTTGCTAGACTTTCTCTGCATTACTTATTCATTAATATGTGTAAATGTAATATCTTTGTTCTGAGCATTAAATAGGATAATGTATGTACAATAATAAGCACAGTATAGAGTATAAGCACACATTAAATAACTGCTGTTAACAAAGAGCTTGTATTTTATAACCACCCAAGGTACTTCACATATTAAGGTTTAAATAAAAATCATTTGAATCCTCTCATCTATTGAATTTTGCAGTTTCCTGGAGTTGACATTCTCGTAGTTATCTCGGACCCTAAAGCATCCCTTAGGGTCCTATTTGAACTATTTGAACACTCTGTTCAAATAGTTTACAGATTATCTTCTATAATGAGAAGTGTGCCTCCAGAAAGAGACTGGCTCAGCATTATGTTGACCATGTCCTGATGTAGAACACAATACATTTTCCAAAAATCAAAAATGATGATACTATGCAGACTTTTCCAGCTTACATAGCAGCCTTGATAACAGACACAACTGCTCTTTTAAACCATTAGATTCTGGTCTTCTACTCTACGTTCACCTCTGGCTACACAGCAGTCTTCACCCCCTGACTTCTCAAAAGCTGTCTTGCTGATTTCCGTCCCCTTTGGATTTGCTTTTTGCACCCTTCTAGAGGATGCTTACAAATCTCAGTTCAGTTCGTCTTCAACTTCACAATCCCCTGTGTAAATCCCAATCACGTCATGTTGTTTTCCTGCAGAAAACTGATTAACTTCTTGAATTCCACAAAAGCCCTGCAGAGGTTCCTGTCCCCACCCTTCCTCCTGTGTTCTTTATGTTCTTTTCTTAGCTGGCATAAGCCGATAAGCCTGCTATATTTTAACAGGGTTTTAAAAACAACAGTAGTATTTTAATGTTTAGAACTCATGATATTGTTAAACACAATGTGGTACACTCTGTGCTGATTTTAATTATTAATATGCGTTTTAATACCATTTTTGTTGTCTAAAAGATTTGGTTAAATGATGTATCCATGAATGGATACAGCAATTCCTACTACTTTTTCCCTATGCATTCCCTTGGATAATTTTTAAAAGTCTGCGCTATTTCCATGTGTTCACTATGTTATATGATTATTAATGCTCTTCTTTAGTAACTCTCTGCTCTATAATACTTTTATTTTCTCCAGTTGGATGTGATCTTGCCTGTGAAACTCTTGCATTATGTTGGTATCATTTTTATTCTTATTTGGCATTGTCTGTTATACAATCCTATACCTCGCAGATACTTAACATTGTATTACATCTGTGCCCAAGTATCTCTTTGCCACAGAAATGATTGCCTCCCTCCTCTGTGGTTGAGGCCACAATTTAAGGAAGAGCATTAAACAGCAAACCTGAGATGCTTGATCCAACCACGCTTCTCTATGCCATCTTCCCTCTCCATCCCCTCTACTCTATTTGCATCTCCTTTAGATCAGGGACTACACCGTCCCAATACCTGCATTGTATACAGCACTGTCTTGAGTATCCATAAAATATACTCACTAACTTTGAATACATTCAATCAAAAATGGCAGGTAGCTCATAGAAAACAGGACGTTCTCAATAATACGCATAAGCTGGAGTGGAAACACTGGAGCTACCTCTGTGTCCAAGAAAACACTTTCCACAAGACCTGAATTGTGCTTTGTTTACAGATAATGTTTCTTGGCGACATCCTGAAAGGGGCTCTCTTTTTATTGTGGAACTTGTCAAAACTATGCAAGAATACGCGTGGTGCTGTGACCTGCAGGAAGTTTTCCGAAAGGTGAGACTCTCAGTGCTTCTTCTACTCTATCTCTCAGGCTTTTGGCTATTCCTGCTGGAATCTTGGTGGGGTGGGGGGAGTTAGAAGACATGTTTATCTTAGGGGACATGTTTATCTTTCAGTAATGCTATTCTCTCCAAAGGAACTTTGAGGGGTTTGATGAGTCAGCAAATATGGATGTGGGATCCAATGTGTTAAGATCCATGACCCCTAGGAATTATTCCTAGTTTAACTCTTGGTCCTCCACGCGCAGACAAATGAGTCAGCACGAGTTTGCCCACGTCCAACATAGCTAACAGATCCAGCTACAGATTTTAAAAGTCTGCAAGACCCTTCTGTGCTTAGATATGCTTCTTGCTATGGTTCTTTGAGATTCAGACACTTTTTGTTTAAATCATTTATTTTTACTTCATTTATCACTGTATATTTATTACAGTTTTTCCAGATCAAATTAAGATTCTCAACTCAGATGGAAAGGTCTACAAACGTTTCTTCTCTTTTAGGTTCAACTTGCATTTGAAATACCAGATCCCGTGGCACAGATGCCCACTACTGAGAGAGTGACTTTGACAAAACTCTTCTATCTCTTCCCAGGGCATTAAAACACGTAAATTGTATCACCATCCTCTGTGTAGGTTTGTGTATGTGTAGTGAGGGGAAGAAGGAATTGGGGGTAGAGTACTGGGACCCCATTATGGTCTGATAAAATGGAGGGAGGATACTAAAAAGCTATTTCTTTTTCTATTTAGTTCAGAGCACATGCTTTTAAAGTTCTGCAGAAGTGGATGGGTATTCCTTAGGGGCAAACGGTATACATCAAAAAGTAGTCAAAAGATATTGAAAACCACTTTAGAAGAACCACAGTAGGGAACATTTAAATGCAGCATAGATTCTTCCTTTTTTATATGTTTGCCCCCATTGGTAGAGAGACCTTACTACTTGCATATATTTCAGCTGAGCTCTTTCTTATATTTGGGTTATTTCCCATTCTGTAGGAAGCCAGGAGTTCTATTTTTCTGCCCCATTATTTAGAATCATGCCTCTTGGAAGCAGATATTTCTTTTAAAAATCTAATAAATCTGAAATAAAAACAAAAGGTTGTCCTGGGTTTATTTTTATTGTAAAGAGAATAATAATAAAAAGAATGGTAGCAAAATTCATAGACAAAATACATAGCAAACAACATAGGCAAAAACAAAACAAAGTAGAAACAATAAAAATGATACAGGGTTTCAGAACAAAATGCTAGAAATTAACAGTGGCTATTATGTTGCATATTGTTATCTTCAAAGAAGTTGCTGATTATCACATGTAAGAATGCAAGATTGATCAAACCATTAAAGAGAATTTTAAAAAATTAGAAATGATACACAGTTTCGCTAGAAAAGATGGTAAGAATTCACCAATGGTTGTTGTATTACATATTGTTGTCTTCAAATTAGTTGTGCGTATTACCAGATATAAGCGTGCAAAATTGGTCAAAAAGAAAAAAAGTAGGCATTAACCGTTCCTGGGCCTATTTTTGTTGTTGTTGTTGTTGTTTGTTTTATTTTGTTTTGTTTTTAAGTTTTGAGACAGGATCTCCCTATGCAATTCAGGCTGGCTTTGGGCTCACTTTGTAGCCCAGGCTGGTCTCGAACTTACAGTGATCCTCCTGCTTCAGCCTCCCAAGTGCTGGGATTACAGACATGCACCACCACGCCTGGCCTGTTGTTTGTTTTTACCACACTGAGAATCGAAGAGGAGTAACACACAGAAATAATGCATTTGGAGTCTTTTGACTTCTATGGGAGTGGAACTCCTAATAACACCATTCTTTTTATTTTTAAAATACTATTTGCTGATTTTTCTGCTTTAGGAGTACAGATGCAAAGTAGGTACATCCATAGAAGGTACCTGAGTTGAGCGTTACAGAAAAGAGAAGCAGTTATGCAGCAACAGAGACATCCTGAGTGACATCCTAGGAGCCAGAGTTCACTATCAACAAAGTTATGAATACAACCTGCATATTTCTAAAGTTTGCTAAGATGTTTGAGAGAAGTGAAGTGAAGTTTGATTTGACACTAGGCTCCTAGTGTTTTGAAATCTTATTAAGAAGATAAAACAGTCAACAAACAGGAAATAGCCAACAGACATACTTGACACTATGAATAAATACTAGAGTATGATATCCTATGTGAAAAAGGGAGAATAAATTTTGGGCTAATCAGCCACTCCGTTGGAAAAACTACACGTTCGCTGGAAGAATGACCCTATCTAGCCCTAAAGTATTTAAAAGTGAAAGTGAATTTCTGACCTTTTGAAAACATTCAATGTTAAACATGTCATGGCTGTTTCCTTCCTCTGACTAACTGGTCTGCACAAGTCACTGTTGTGTGATCATTCCTTCTACTACAGACTAAACCTGATCCTATGAAATATTTTTGTCTAGGGTATCGCAAGACAAATACCAAGGCAGAACTTCCACCCTTTGTACAATCAGATCTTAAATGGATTTCAGGCAAATAAATAAAATCATGTTTGGGAAAGGCTGAAAAAAAGGTTTCCAGAACTATCTGTAATAAAAGTTTAAGATGACAGGGATGGGCCAGGAATATAGCTCAGTGGCACAAGCGCCTGCCTGGCAAGCCCAAAGTCCTGAGTTCTATTCCTGGCACACACACACACACACACACAAAGACAGAAACTACTTGGCTAATTTTTACTGGGAAACCTACAAATTTATTTAACAAGTAGAGGGGGAGACACAAGAGTTTAAAGGAGGAGGAGGAATGGGAGGGATTCTGTGAGCCGTGCACAGAGCAAAGGAACAGGAAGAAAAACCGGTCAGAGGAGCCAGCCTGTAGCACAATGTTTTACGATTTTTAGTTCTTAAATTTTCCTTCCCAAAGGAAGAAGAAACTAGAGCTCAGGACCAAGATTCCAATGTGATCACTTCAGGGGATTTCCCAACAAGAAAACTAGTCCTCAGCAGGAGTTTTGCAATCTGTGATACACTGTCCCCGCCCCCTGCACTTAGGAAATGCCCAGCAAGTTTCATTTTCTAGTCTGAGGCTTTCTACACCCCAGGACAGCAAGAAGAGGCTGAGGCCCGTTAACCATGGCTGGTGAGTTTGGGTTCCTTCCTGAAAAGGGCTTTATGCACTCATCTGTGATATGCAGAAATAAGAAAAGGAAAGCAAGGTGATGTTACCCTAATTAACAATTCTGGTACAATATTTCACTGATTGCTCTCAGGGTCTCTCTCTGTCTCTTCTTCATCTCTGTCTCTGTCTCTCTGTCTCTCTGTCTCTGTCTCTGTCTGTCTCTGTCTCTTTCTGTCTCTCTCTCTCTCTCTCTCCCAGCGTCCCTCTTTTTCTCTGGCTGAACTTAACCCTCTGATCCATCCTGCAACTTACTCTCAGGTCACCTGTTTTATGCACAAAAACTTGATCATTGGAAATGTTAAGTAGATGTTAAGTAAACCAAACATCTAACTTATTGTTTAGGCTTATTGAGAGATAGGTCATGCCTCAATTTTATTCATTTTATTCATTCATTCCTGTATTCATTTGATCAGTAATATAGTACAGAATTATTGAACATCCCCTGAACATCAGAAGTAATGCAGAGCTGGTTTATGGTTCCTGGACTAACAGGGCGTAGAATCTAATAATGGAACAGTGACAAGTAATTTGGGAATCACAGTTATATGAGACCTGAAGGATATACAGAGAGGAACGGGACAGCAGCAAGAAATGACAGGTTTGGGAACTGGAGATGCAGAGATCTCTAAGGAAATATTTTTGTGATGTCACAAGAAGGGCAGCATGTTTAAAATGTTAGTGTAAAAGGTGGATTTACTATCAGAAAGGCTGAATGAGAAAACAGATTAGAATAAAATGAGAGGTTTCTTTATCAAAGTTTGATCTTGGAAAACTCATTCTGCTTGATTATGAAGAATATATAAGAAGGTAAGTGTAGACTTATAAGGATCTTGGAGTAATTAATAAACAAAGGATGTTGGTCTGAACAGATGAAATGAACAATTAGAATTGATAGAAGTAGTTGGTAAGATCCTGTAAACATTTAATAAATTAAATAAAGATAATATGAATTGAGACTGAAAATAAAATATCAACAGGGAAGAAGAGGTGTAAAGTCATGAGGTTTGCTGATTTCCTACATTGGAGATTACATAATATTTACTAGGAAGGAAATGGAGGAGGGGAATTAAAATGGTTATTTAACATTTTGAGTTTGGTTTTGTTTTTGGAACCAGGAATTCAACTCAGGACCCCAGGCTTGCCAGGCAGGCGCTGTGCCTCTGAGCTATATCCCCGGCCCTTACTTAAGCTTTTAAAATTAAACCTAAACATTTTGTGAAATAGCTCATTTGCAATTCGATGTTATTCTCAGTATTGTTATCCACATCTAGGCTGAATCTATATATTTGTATAAATTCATAGAATCTATAAATTTCACATATTTATTATTAAAATATTATAGTTGATGCAATGAAAATGTATAGATTAGAAGAGGACCTCAAGACAAAACGTTTTAGTTTTCTTAAATCACAACACACATGTTTTTGGCAAATATTCTATATATTTAATATGTAAAATATATTTCTATATAGATAGATGGATGAATGACTAAATGGAGCGAATTAACATATGCAATAACTCGTATGCCTCTCTTTTTTGCGGTAGGAACACTTAAAATTTGTCTTTGAGCAATTTTCAACAATACAGTATAACATCATTGTTTACAGACACCATGCTTTTCTGCAGGTCTCTTGATCTTAATTCTCCTGTGTTTCCAAAATTTTACTTCCTTTGACAAATCTCTCCCATGTTTAACCCACTCCACCACTAAAACCTGGCAAACGTCATTCTAGTCTGTATTTCTATGAACATTACTTTGCAAGATTCCACCTAAAAGTGGCGTCAAGTGGTACCTGAATTTCAGAGCCTGATGTGGTTCTTTACTGATTAACACAATGCACTCCTGTTTTATTCATGCCTTTTAGTAATTACAGAAATTATTTTTTAAATAGCTGAATAGTATTCCACTTTCATTACTCATTCATGTACCGCAGACTCCTGTGTTGAGTCCGTATCTTCACTGTTATGAATGATGCTTCAGTGAACTTTCAAGTGCAGCTAACATTTCAACATCTTTCAGCTGTGTTTCCATATCATTGGACATTTACCAGTAATGAGTTTGGGAGTTTCTTATTATTTTTAAGGAACTTCCAAATTGTTTTTCAAAGTGGTTGTACTAATTTAGATTTTCACCAGGAACATGCATGGATTTCTTTTTCTCTGCATCCTCTGCTACATTTATCCTCTACCTCTTTGATAATGGACTTTCTTTTTTATTTTTTATTTTTTACTGTTTTGGTTTTTTTACCGATACTGGGAATCGAACTCATGACCTCACGCTTGCCAGGCAGGCACTGTGCTGCTGAGCTAAATCCCCAGCCCCCTGATAATAGACTTTCTGACAGATGTAGAGTAATATTTGATTGTGGTTCTAATTTGCATTTCCTTGATTATTGGAAATGTTAAATATTTTTCATGTGGTCCGTCATATGGTTTTCATGAGTTTGGTCATTTTATGCCTTCTCTAAAAACTGTCCATTCAAGTCTTTTGTCTATTTTGAAATCAATGTACTTGTTTTCTTGTTATTAGTCTGAGTTTCTTATTTATTTTTATATTGATGCTTTATTTATTGTGTGATTACCAAACACTTTCTCCCAATGTGTACATTATGTCTTCACTCTGTTGATTGTTCTGCTAAAGTTTTTGAGTTTAATCCCAATTGTTTATGTTCACTTTTAAGCCTGTGGTTTTGGGATCATATCCATTAAATCTCTGCTTAAGCCAATATACAGGGATTTTCCTGTTATATCTTCTTTTATAGTTTCAAAATTTCCAATCATATATTAATATCTTTAACCCCCTTTTAGCTAATTTTTCTGTTCTGTTTTTTTGTTGTTGTTGTTGTTTTCTGGTACAAGGGATTGAACTCACGATCTTGTGCTTGCTGGGCAGGCACTGTGCCACTGAGCTAAATCCCCATCCCCAAGCTAATTTTTTGATATGATGCAA